TTTGGAATGGTAATGTTTATCTTGTGCCTTTGAATGTTGCAAGTGTTTAACTTTTCTTTTATACAGGGGCTCACAGCTAAGAGTTTGCCTTGGCTATGGGAGGAGACTCGGGACTTGGATTTTTCAACAGTGTTGAAACTGTTTGGACTTGGGCAACTCTTAGAGATGGACTAAAATGGCTTTTGCACAAAAGGATGTGCATGAGACTTTACGGGGTCAAGTAGCGGGATGTTATGGTTTGTGTCTGGTTGTCTACCCAAAGCCTCATGCAGTCAGGGCAGGGATTTCTAGAGTTTGAGATTAACTCATGTTCCACTGGGATTATGAGTCTTAGTACTGCTGGAATTATGGGTGTGAGTGCTACACCCAGTCTGAGGTGGATAGCCTGAATGTAATATAAGACAGATAGAGAGACACACTTCTTCTCTGTTGCCATTGTTGCTGTTCTGCTGCTATGAATTGCTGCTCTCTGCCATGTGCCAGCGTGCCCTGGAGCCAGCTGAGTATGAACTGAAACCTCCAGTAACTGAGCTAAATAAACTTTTCCTTTCCTTCATTTTGAGTGTTGGGTATGTGTCCCGGCAATGAGAGAAGAGTAACTGAGACAAGAATATTATGGGATGAGAAATAAAAATACTTATAAAGGGGCCTGGGGAGATGGCTCAGTGGAATAAGCACTTCCCTGGCAAGCGCAAGAGCCTGAGTTCAATCCCCGGTTCCGCCAAAAAAAAAAAAATGCGTATAAAAAGCACTTTATTAATTTTATTGAGAAACAAGTAGCAGTGAGACAGTTTCAAAACCGATTAATAGGACAGTTTCAATAATTAATACATTGGATATTGTTGTCTTTGGAGTGGTTATTCATAGTACAAGATGCAGACGTGATATCCTGTCCAAACACTACTAGTACAAATCTTTCTTCTCAGTGAATTAAGGGAAAGTAGCTGTGTATTTATCCTAACTATTTTGTATATACAGATACAAAATAGTCCTTCATTTGTTTTTTTTTTTTT